TGCTCGATAACAAAAGTACATATCACATGGGTCATTGGCCCACCACGATGAAAACGCTAACCAAAGCAACCCATAGGAACCAATCACCCCCACAAATTTAAAGGTTGCACAGCACGACATGCGAAAGTACTGAAAAAACCCCCCACAAAGATGCGGACGAAAAGGTCCCTAAAGTTGAAGCAAAATTCCTTTCTATAATACTAGAAAGGGGTTCACCGTGCAAATGCGGGAGGGAGAATTGCCGGTTACATCCACTTAATTTATAGATTATTAGAATGATGGTGAATGTGAATAATAAACAAAATATTTAGATTTGTACTTTAAGGAAGTATATAATTAGTTCAAAATTATAAAAATATAAAGTTCAAGAGATGAAATCATTTAAGTATGCTAATGTTTGTACTTAACATGCACTCGTACGCGCCCTATGGACCACTTGGTTATACAGATGGGATTCACTCAACGTCTATACATATATGTACACCAAAAAAAAAATTATACTCCCTCTACCTCGTAAGTATAGGCTAACTTCTATTTTTATATATAGATTAAAAATTGTATGTTAATGTAAGCTTAGTGCAATTATTTTTGCTTAGTAATTTTCCCGTTTGTCCTTTTGCTAATACTAGCTTTAGTGTTGTATTCATTACTCTTAAATGATTAATAGTATATTTATTGATAAAGATATGCATTCAACATGGGTATGGTAGCAAATTGATAAACTAACTACAGACCCGTTTGACAAGTGAATTTTTTTTGTGTTTGTCTAAAACTTTATTGTAGGTTACCGTAGAAGTTTTTTAAAAAATTTTTGAAATGTATAAATTTCTGAATATTTTGAAGTGTATAGTTTAAAAACTTTAAGAAATTTTTTGAGCTTATTGTAGTTAAAACTTTTAAAAAATTTGTAACAAACAAATTTGACAAAAAACTCAAGTACCAAACAGGGCACCATCTTAAAAGGGAAAGTTTATAATTTAGGACAATCACAAAAAACAAATGACCTTATCTTATAGGACAAACGGAATAACTATTTGCTGCTTTAGTATTATAATAATAATTCTCACTGTCCAAGTTTACTAGTTTTGTTTGCCTTTTTCATCCGCTTTAAATTATAATTCATTTTTTAATTGAATTATCTTATAGGATGGAGGGAACGACTTTTTACTGTTGTAGTATTATAACTATTTTACAATTTTTTGTAGATATCGAGGATATACAATATGTATTATAAACCATTTACTGCTTTACTATCTATATTTGTGTAAAATCCATGATTTTTGGGCTCATTTTATCTTGCCCAATTTAATTAAATGGTAATTTATTATGGTAAAAGCAAAATTAATTGCAGGTTTGGTTAAAAGGTTAATTAAGGGATAGGATGAGATAAGATAGGGTAAAAGTTTATAACAGTTAAAACTCCTATCTAAACTACCTACTAGTGGGTGGTTATTAGGGTTTAGCATATTTGTCAAAGCAACAAAGAAAAAAAAAAGAATAATAACCTATTCCCTACCTTTCATTGTCTGCCTCCCCTTAGAGCAAGAGCCGTCAGAGAGTAGAGAAGGAGAAACAGGCGTCGCCATCAATCAATCAGACGACTAGACCCCTAAACTTGTAAGTCCTAAATTCATGTGAAACTTCTCTTTTAAGTTCTATTAGTCAGATTAATTATTCTAAAGATTTTACAGATATGTATTATGTTATATATTGAGGTATATGCTTGTATATGAGATTTAGGAGGATTCATATTGATTTAGTAAAAATAGGATGTTAGATGAATGGGTTGCCCCAAATCTGTCGAAAAAAAAAGAGAGAAGAGCAGCGGCTGTTTTGGCCAGGCGTTGCTTCTGGAAAAAAAAGAAAAAGAAAAGTGGGGGCCGCCATCTCTGGCGGCAGAGGAAGAATCCCAAAGGTTGGCCGAAACTAAGACTGAAACCAAAAAATTTTTTTTGAAAGATGATGTCGCCAGCACTTGCTGGCGACAATGGACATAGGAAATGGTTGGCTGAAAATGGAAGGAATGTTGTTGCCAGACCTTGGTCAAACAAATGGTTTCTGACGACCATGGCCTAAAAGGAAATGGTTGGCCTTCTGGCCAACCATGGCTCTAACCCGAAGAGGAAAAAGAGATAATTTAGATGTTAACCAAATATAAGATTAAATAAATAAATATTTAATAAATAAATTTTGAATATAACTAGTCCATTTTTATAGGTTATTATGGGTATTAAAATTCAGGACCCAATTTAAAGAAATTGTTAGAATTGAAGTATTGGTCATGTAAAACTTATATTTAATTAATTACGTCTAAGATATTTAAAGAAAAATCTAGGATATCTTAATTTAGCCTTATGAGGTTAACGTAGATGAGGGGAGATAAATTCTAAATTGTTAAACGAAACGTTTAAAATAATAATAATAATAATAATAATAATACTAACGATAACACTAATGGTAATAATAATAATAATAATAATAATAACAATAATAACAATATAGATATAGATGAAATAAATTAAGGATATGAACGAAAATAAAAATATAAATACAAGTGTAATAAACAATGACAATAATTATAATAATAAGTCAACATATATATATAGGTACATGTATACATAAATAATAATAACGGCTATACACGCACAAAGGTAGAAATAAAGCGAAAGACATAGTAACTAATTGACAATATATATATATATATATATATATATATAAGTGGTAATAAAATAAATTAGCGATGACGAGGATGATAATAATAATAATGAATAATTATAAATTATAAATAGATATAGTAAGATAGTAGTCAAGATACTAAACGTGATTATGAATAATTATTCTCTTTTAAATTAGGAAACCTTACTAAAAGGAGAGCCGTTCCGACTAAGAACCTTCTCAATTAAGAAACTTTTCAAATTAGGAAACTTTCCAAAAATAGAAATCATCAATTTAAGGAAGAGGCTATAAGGGTTCATATAATGGGTTAGACATGAATCCTCGACTTACTCGGAGTTTGTACATTTATGCATCTATAGGAAGTAACAACTAATTAGGGAACTCATGCATTTGATAGGTGCGATACAAGGACTTAAGGTAGTTCCACTCGAGCAGCCAAACAGAGGTAGGTGGTACTTACCCTTCTGAGATTTCAAATGTGCAAAGTGAAATTCTTGTTTTCAATCCTATTTTGTTGTGTTGACTCGAAAGGTGTTTGATTAAATGCTTTGCTTGGATATTTATGAAAGTTATATTTTACTATACAAAAATGGACCATATGACTTATTTGAAATGTTTTGATATGTTTCTTATATACAAAATGAGCTGAATCTTTTATGAAAGCAAAGATTTATGTATACGGTATATGAAATGAATTTTGACAAGTAAAGCTCAGAGCAGTCATGGAATAGACGGTAGGGGCTATAATCCTGTCTAATCGCCATGGTAGCTTGGTATAAAGTCCGGCCGATTGGTGAGGTCATGGTAGCTTGGTATAAAGCCCAATCGATTGACCGATTGATAAAGTCATGGTAGCCTGGTATAAAACCCAGCCGATTGACCGATTGACAAAGTCATGGTAGCCTGGTATAAAGCCCAGCCGATTGACAAGGTCAGGGTAGCCTGGTATAAAGTCCGGCCGATTGACCCATGTATGAAATGAAACCAATCGGTAGTCATGAAACCTATTGGTCGCCTACCTAGAAGCGGTAAAATCTCTAGACTGAGTATTCAGTAGCCGGTCATTACATGCACTTGTTATGAGCTAATATGGAATGATTTATGAGCTAATGTGGAATGAGTTATGAGCTGATAAGGAATGATTTATGAACTGATCTGAGATGAGACTCATGAACCGATATGAATTGATTTGTGACTTGAGACGAAATGATTTATGACTTTACGATTTCTCATGTACAATTATCAATAAGATACTTTTAAATTGCTTGTCATTCTTTACAACTGATTGCTTTATAAATGACGTTACTTTCAAAATTATGGATGTGAATGATATGCAAACGATTTGAGTTGTACTTATAGATATATGAATCTATAAAATTAAGAGTGCATGGTCCAACAGAGGGGTAAATATTACCTACTGAGCGATGTGTCGCTCAACCCACTTCTTACCATTTTTGCAGATTCTGAAGAGTATGAATTGGTTTACGTAGAAGACCCTGAGGATGACTTTTATTAGTTTTAGATGAATAGAGGTTGGCAGGCTGGCTACGTCCAGTTATTGGTCTTATTTACCTTTGTTTCCGCTGTTTCTATTGGAGAATAAATGTACGAACGTCTTGATTATTCGTAGACTTCCTTTTATATGTAATTCGTACCGCACTTTATTTAGTTAAATTATTCAGTACTGCCAAAGTTAATTAGTTAATGTAGCCTTGTATTCCTGAGTGGGACTTGGGAGTACGGCGGCTGTCATGTGACGGGCACGTACGGGCTCGGGGCGTGATAATTTGCTTGGAATTATTCTCATTTTTATGCGGTCTAAAAATGTCCTTTACCTGGAAATTCACTTTGGCCGAAAAGTAGGCAAATGGTCCCTCGTATTGGCCCCGAGGCAGGGGACCTGAAGTCCCCACCAACACGAGAAGATAAGAATCTTGCAGGTTGCAATTAGGGATAGGCATGACTCGGATATCCGCCCGAATGACAATTGATTGATCCGATCTTAATTTATTTAATCACTGGGTTTGTTTGGACAATAGATTATTTGGGATTTTTTTTAGGTTACTTTTTAAGATTGCGTAAATATGAAATAGACGTTTGGATAGTAAGTAAATCGTGTAAATTAGCGTTTGGACAGGTGCTCATTATTGAATTTAAGCAGGTGACTTTGACTTTGAAAATTTTGACTTTGATTTCGAAAATTTTGACTTTATACTACGTTTACGCTAAACCAATTGCATACTTAATACATAAACGGTACAGATTAATTTAGAAGTTAGAAATCGAGGGCATTTAAGTACACTTTACACATGGAAAAATAAATTTTAGGGACAGTTACAATCCTTTGTAATGCAACGAACACCTAACGGCGGCGTCGCCCTCGTGCTGCGTACATTTGAGTCGCTATGTAGTCTCGTTTAACTTTCCATTCCGCCAGCTCTGCAGGAGATACGTTTAATGCGAACGGCTGAGGTACTAGCCCGCATATTTCTGGCTCTTCATTTAAGTGCACGTCTTCTGATTCAAACCATTGAAAATGGGTATCTTCTGGTTGGTGCATCCTTAAAAAGTTGTGCAACGCACAACAAGCAATGACTATAGTTATTTGAGTGCTCATGTAGAAATTATCTGCCTGACCCTTCAACTATTGAATCTTTTCTTAAGCACACCGAATGTACGCTCAATGACATTGCGAAGTTGTGAATGTCGAGTATTGAACAAGGTCTTTGCCGGAGATTCGGACCCCACGTTCTTATACGGGGGCATGAAACCAGGAGCATTCCTGTATGCCGCATCAACTAAGTAGTACTGACCTAATTGACAAAGTTATTCCAATTAATAAACGCGATAAAAAATAGGAGTTGTGGTAATAAAGCATAGCACACACTTGACTCGAAATATTTGATCCATCACTTATCAGGTTGCGGCAGTGAAAAATCGGACGGATATACTAATGCTGACTCCAACACTCGCGCATCGTGTGCACTTCCCTCCCATCCAGCATACACATAGATGAAGCGCATGTCATGGTCACAAACTACCAGAACATTCTGTGATTGAAATCCGTGCCGATTTGTATATGCCATTTGCTCGACTGTCGGAGGACAAGCTAAGATGTGGGTGCCATCCATCGCTCCCACGGCATCCTAGTATGTGTCAAAAATATATAATCAACTTTCTAGAATCGTCTTACTACATCAAGCCAAAAACCACTATTCTTTCCACATTACCTTGAACCATGGATAAAAATTAGTTGAGTTTGCAATTCGTGAATGAACTGCAGTCTGATCACCCGGTCGTATTATTTCAGCTGCAAATAGACACAGGCCTCGGAGCACCTTTCTTATATTTCGATTAATCGTCTCAATGGATCGATCAAAAATAGTCCCCAACACACGGTGCGTATGCTTGTGGCTGACCAACATTAAAGTCATAGCAAGCGCCTCCTGTATGGGCACGCGCTGTTGGTAATTGTGTGGAACGTACTGTCTCTCGACAAGGATATTGGACAGTTGTAAGAAATTATCAATCGTGATACGCATGTTGTCTATTGAGCGTCTATGATGACCGTAGAATAAGCGTTCCACCCACTGCCTATCTGTGAATGAACCATCATGTTGCGGAAGTGGTTGATTATTATCCACGTGTGCAAGCGACAGATGCATTAACATTAACGAGGCACTCATAAGAAGTAAGGCCTCATCTTTCTCATCTTGCCTCATGTGGTCCGCATTGCGTCCTCTAGCACCACGGCGATTGTTCCAGGCCATAATAATTGAGTATATATCTGTATATATGTTTACATAAGCGTGTTCGTATGTGTATAACCAATTCCATAAATGTGTTAATACACGTGTTAATGGACATAAATAAAATGTCCGGAATCTAGACATAAAATGGCTTTAAATTTAAGTATGTAATTGGTCAGACATGTTCCATTAGAGTCTTCATCATCCTCTCAAACCAATTACGAAAACTAGAGTAGCTTTATGGAGTATAGAATACTTAGCAATATGACTTTTATAGCACGTATTTAGCAATATGACTTTTAATATAAATATATTTATAAATGTATATTATTATAAATATATAAATTATAAATGAGTATTATATAAATGTATAAATTAATATATTTGTAATTTATAATTTATATATTTTTATATAAATATACATTTATGCATTTATAATACATTTATAAATAAATTTATTTATTTATTTATATAAAACTCTTATAAATATATTATAAATGTATTATATTATCTATTACTATAATACATAATATAAATATATTTATAAGAGTATAAATATATATTATTATAAATGTATAAATTATAAATAAATATTATATGAATGTATAAATTATATATCTTTCCTATATATTAATATTATGTGTAAATTTATAAATGTAATTAATATGTATAAATGTATAATTAATATTATGTATATTAATATAAATGTATAAATGCATTACGTGAGAGTATATAAAACAACAATCCAAGAGAAAATATTCCAGTCCGTACTACCTCAAAAAACAGATCTGGACTGTTACTTCAATTCGTAACATTTCAAAATATTTATTATCACTTTGAAGCGGTAAAAGATGAACGATTACTTTCCAATAACTCGTACAATGCATTAAGTGAGAGTATAAACGGCTACCATACAAAAGATCTAAATAACCACATAAATTGAATTTAGATGCAATTTTTTAACTGAAAACATCCGTCTACTATTTACCTCGCTTCCACTGGCATGCACGTAGTTTCCGGTTGCCACACGGCGAGGTGCACATAGCTACCACGTTAACAATCAAGAAAAGGCCGCCACTTCGTCTTGACGTTTTGTCTTCTATCCTCGTTCATTTTTTTTGGCGTAGAGAATTGCAGGCCAGTTCTTTTTGTAGAGAATTGCAGTTCTTAAATGTATTTATTGCGGGGGATGGCTGATCTGCATTGGAGTTACGAATTCTTTTTAAAGAACTTACACCACAATTTCCACTTTGTCGTTTCATGAGATATATTTGGTGTACATGCAATTGGAATGCTTTAAAGCACATGCATTTCCGCAATTTATGGCCCTTGTCTGAGGACACGACACATCCCTGAAAATTGAAAGTGGAAACATACGGAGAAGTTTACTTTACGGACTTCTATTGGCCATCAAAAAGAAGTAGTCACAAACGCACAAACCCATGTGCTTGTCAGCAATTGCACTACAGAATATGATCAAGACATAAAGAAAAGGAAGAACTATTTGTTCTCATCTTTCACAGAAGGCATAAGCCTTTCACACAGATTCCAAAACTCTTCAAATATATGATACGCTTAGGATACATTTGATTACTTTCCACGGGGATCAATTTGCAAATCGCAACCGTGGAGTGGACTCCAGCACCAAAGAGCTAAGGCCCTAATGCTTCAAGATTGGGTTACAGTAGTGCGTTAATGGACAAAAAAGGTGCATGCTTTTTTAAACACTTTTAGTGCTTACCGACAAAAAACTTTTAGAGTGTTTAGTACTAACTAAACTAAACACTTTTAGAACTAACTAAACTACTTTTAACTAAATTTACTTACTTTACGTAGCTCAATTTGTGATAATTTAAAAGCACTCTTATCAACAATAATATACTTGTGTCAAAAGTGCTTACCGAACTTCAAGTAAGGCCTCAGCCTGTCAAAACAGCAATTTCAAAAATTCAAGCATACCTGCTCACCCCTTCCTCTCAAAAAAAAGAAGTGATAAATTGACTACAAAAATACATATGAGTTTCCAACGCATGACTCACTCGTAAATTCCAAAACTTGAGCAGGATATACGAAATTATCTCAACTTTTGGGCGTAATAGGTACCTCATTTTTCTTCATTCAAAAGAATTAGACACGTACAAAGGAAAATGAGGAATATGAAGTGTTATGACAACTACTTATCACAAATGTTACGCATATATACTTTCCAATAACACTTAGTACTATAAATTTACGGAAGTTTCCTGTTATATCTAAATCAGTCAGCACCAAAAAAGCGCACGCAAACTGCTAGTTTCACCATAAATAAGTCCTCCAAACATTAAAGCAGTAAACGAGATAACAGAAGTTTGACGCTGCTCAATGCCAACCAAGTTAACTCCTATCAAAAGATCACAACTTATGATTGAGAGCCATTTTCTTCAATTCCCAGGACAAATCATAAGGAGAAAAGGAACGATGAACAGCTTGGTATTAACTAATCCTTGACAGATTTAAAAAACATCTCAAAGCCCCAGACTACAGACGAATACCTCTCTAAATGTTTAAGCGTCTGGATGCCCAAGGCAGTAATATGCAAAATATAACTAATAATGAGCCAACGAGTCCCTAGATTAATACTTTGAAGTTAGCAGCAAGTTACTTGTCCTTGGCATTGATCATGATTATTATTGAATAATAAACTCATACTTTAACGTAGTATAAGTTGTTTAATGGGATGCTACTTGATAAGTCATAACTCAGACACCATATGAAGGAAAAGAAAAAATAGTTTTGAAGAAGAATTAAAATTGGACATATACTTGACAACAAAAGTTTACATGAGTGGCCCAGAGAAAAGAATCTTTACATTGAGTCTGACCCAGAACAAAAGAAAAAAGAAAAAAAGAAGATGATTTGCACCTTTTCAACAAAGAAATTGTATCAGATTATAAGGTGCTTACCACAGCCTGCACAGTTATAGATGCTTGAATTCATAACTTTTGGTTCTGTTGTATGTCTCATTTGATGAGGTTAGATACATGTCAATTAGGTCAATTATTATCTTATTGTTAGGAGTTAAAAACATGTATTACTGCGGGCTGCTAATTTCCAGAATTAACAGACGCATGGGATTTTTTGTTTCACACTGGAATTTGAAAGCTAACATGCTGGGAATTTGTTTGGATGCAAACTCCCATTTGCTGTTTGGATGCATATTTTTTGCAATGAGTTAATAATTTTACTGTCTAGCTGCTGCCATTTCGGTTGTTTTGAGGCTGTTCTCTCTTCGGTTATGACCGCTGAGAAGAGGAAGAAGTCTTCTTGCGATTGTATGTCCTTCTACGCTGTATTAGAAAGTAATTTTCGCAGCATATTAATTGGATAATAATACTTTTGTTCGAATTTTCAAGCCTCACCTGTTAGCTGTAAGTCCGATTGCTCTACCCGTTCATCAACTGCATCCAACAACTACATCAACTGCCTTTCCATCTACTTTGTGGCAAGTGCCTTCGTTGAGTTCCTTCTGCACCTGTTTTTGCTTTCACTATTGATTGTCCAGATCTGTTTCCAAACCACTTTAATTCAATTTCTGTTATCTCCGTTCACTGCTAACTGTTTTTTCCCATCAAACTTAGCAAATGGCTTCTAGGATTCACTGGACCGATGCAATGGACGAAGCTTTTCTCACAGCTTACGTCAGTCTTAGGGAAAATAACGTTTGGGACAACAGGAAGTCGTTAGAGACCAACTACGACATGTTGGCAGCCCATTTGGCGAGCAATCACATAATGACTGTCACTGGCTAGCAATTGCAGACCAGATTCTATCACATCAAGAAGAAATGGGACCTGTTCTACAATCTGCATGGGATTTCATCAAAAACAGAGACCGGGGTTGGGTGGAGTGAAGACAGCTACTGCTTCACTGCTGATGATGAACATTGGGCCAACTTGGAGCAGGTATGGACTTGTCGCTTTCTTGACTTCTGTTAATGGAATTTCTCTGTAGTTTAGATTTGAAAGGTGACTTCAGATTCCCCATTGAACTAAAATCTGAGCACTCAATCTTGTTTAAACTCCACTTGTTAGTCTCACTTATGTTTAATCCTTGATGTCTTTTTATCCTTGATTTTCCGGTGACTTCATCGATTTTTATATGCTGACTCCACTTGTTATTCCGTCTTATTTTTAATCCTCGAAGTCTTTTGACGAGTTAATCTTGTAGCTCAGTCATTACATCCTTATTAGATTGAATGATGAAAAGAACCTGTAATTTGGTGCACAACTACATATTCAATTCTGAATAGAACTAGATTTGGGTTATAAAGGGTTATAAGGGGAGGTTCCTGAATAATATAAGCATTTTCCTTGTTAAAATAACTTGAATATTTAGAGTTTTCAGTAAGCGCATGAATTTTTACTGAAAAAAAAAATACAGCTTCAATGAATTCGGATGACAACTCGGGTTACATCCCTTTTCATGAAATGCTTAAACATTTAGAGAGGTATTCATCTGTAGTCTGGGGCTCTGAGATGTTTTTTAAATCTGTCAAGGATTAGTTAATGCCAAGCTGTTCATCGTTCCTTTTCTCCTTGTGATTTGTCCTGGGAATTGAAGGAAATGGCTCTCAATCATAAGTTGTGATTTTTTGATAGGAGTTAACTTTGTTGGCATTGAGCAGCGTCAAACTTCTGTTATCTCGTTTACTGCTTTAATGTTTGGAGGACTTATTTATGGTGAAACTAGCAGTTTGCGTGCGCTTTTTTGGTGCTGACTAATTTAGACATAACAGGAAGCTTCCGTAAATTTATAGTACTAAGTGTTATTGGAAAATATATGTGCATAACATTTGTGATAAGTAGTTGTCATAACACTTCATATTCCTCCTTTTCCTTTGTACGTGTGTAATTCTTTTGAATGAAGAAAAATGAGGTACCTATTATGCCCAAAAGTTGAGATAATTTCGTATATCCTGCTCAAGTTTTGGAATTTACGAGTGAGTCATGCGTTGGAAACTCATATGTATTTTTGTAGTTAATTTATCACTTCTTTTTTTTGAGAGGGAGGGGTGAGCAGGTATGCTTGAATTTTTGAAATTGCTGTTTTGACAGGCTGAGGCCTTACTAGAAGTTCGGTAAGCACTTTTGACACAAGTATATTATTATTGATAAGAGTGCTTTTAAATTATCACAAATTGAGCTACGTAAAGTAAGTAAATTTAGTTAAAAGTAGTTTAGTTAGTCCTAAAAGTGTTTAGTTTAGTTGGTACTAAACACTCTAAAAGTTTTTTGTCAGTAAACACTAAAAGTGTTTAAAAGAGCATGCACATTTTCTTGTCCATTAACGCACTACTGTAACCCAATCCTGAAGCATTAGGGCCTTAGCTCTTTGGTGCTGGAGTCCACTCCAAGGTTGCGATTTGCAAATTGATCCCCGTGGAAAGTAATCAAATGTATCCTAAGCGTATTTGAAGAGTTTTGGAATCTGTGTGAAAGGCTTATGCCCTCTGTGAAAGATGAGAACAAATAGTTCTTCTTTTTCTTTATGTCTTGATCATATTCTGTAATGCAATTGCTGACAAGCACATGGGTTTGTGCGTTTGTGACTACTTCTTTTTGATGGCCAATAGAAGTCTGTAAAGTAAACTTCTCCGTATGTTTCCACTTTCAATTTTCAAGGATGTGTCGTGTCCTCAGACAAGGGCCATAAATTGCAGAAATGCATGTGCTTTAAAGCATTCCAATTGCATGTACACCAAATATATCTCATGAAACGACAAAGTGGAAATTGTGGTGGAAGTTCTTTAAAAAGAATTCATAACTCCAATGCAGATCAGCCATCCCCCGCAATAAATACATTTAAGAACTGCAATTCTCTACAATAAGAACTGGCCCGCAATTCTGTAAGCCAAAAAAAATGAACGAGGATAGAAGACAGAACGTCAAGACGAAGTGACGGCCTTTTCTTGATTGTTAACGTGGTAGCTGTGTGCACCTCGTCGTGTGGCAACCGGAAACTACGTGCGTGCCAGTGGAAGCGAGGTAAATAGTAGACGGATATTTTCGGTTAAAAAATTGCAATCTAAATTCAATTTCTGTGGTTATTTAGATCTTTTGTATGGTAGCCATTTATACTCTCACTTAATGCATTGTACGAGTTATTGGAAAGTAATCGTTCATATTTTACCGCTTCAAAGTGATAATAAATCTTTTAAGGTGTTACAAATTGAAATAATAGTCCAAATCTGTTTTTTGAGGTAGTACGGACTGAAATTTTTTCGCTTGGATTGTTGTTTTATATACTCTCACGTAATGCATTTATACATTTATATTAATATACATAATATTAATTATACATTTATACATATTAATTACATTTATACATTTACCCATAATATTAATAAATAGGAAAGATATATAATTTATACATTCATATAATATTTATTTATAATTTATACATTTATAATAATATATATTTATACTCTTATAAATATATTTATATTATGTATTATAGTAATAGATAATATAATACATTTATAATATATTTATAAGACTTTTATATAAATAAATAAATATATTTATTTATAAATATTTATAAATATATTATAAATGCATAAATGTATATTTATATAAAAATATATAAATTATAAATTACAAATATATTAATTTATACATTTATATAATATTCATTTATAATTTATATATTTATAATAATATACATTTATAAATATATTTATATTAAAAGTCATATTGCTAAATACGTGCTATAAAAGTCATATTGCTAAGTATTCTATACTCCATAAAGCTACTCTAGTTTTCGTAATTGGTTTGAGAGGATGATGAAGACTCTAATGGGACATGTCTGACCAATTACATACTTAAATTTAAAGCCATTTTATGTCTAGATTCCGGACATTTTATTTATGTCCATTAACACGTGTATTAATACATTTATGGAATTGGTTATACACATACGAACACGCTTATGTAAACATATATACAGATATATACTCAATTATTATGGCCTGGAACAATCACCGTGGTGCTAGAGGACGCAATGCGGACCACATGAGGCAAGATGAGAAAGATGAGGCCTTACTTCTTATGAGTGCCTCGTTAATGTTAATGCATCTGTCGCTTGCACACGTGGATAATAATCAACCACTTCCGCAACATGATGGTTCATTCACAGATAGGCAGTGGGTGGAACGCTTATTCTACGGTCATCATAGACGCTCAATAGACAACATGCGTATCACGATTGATAATTTCTTACAACTGTCCAATATCCTTGTCGAGAGACAGTACGTTCCACACAATTACCAACAGCACGTGCCCATACAGGAGGCGCTTGCTATGACTTTAATGTTGGTCAGCCACAAGCATACGCACCGTGTGTTGGGGACTATTTTTGATCGATCCATTGAGACGATTAATCGAAATATAAGAAAGGTGCTCCGAGGCCTGTGTCTATTTGCAGCTGAAATAATACGACTGGGTGATCAGACTGCAGTTCATTCACGAATTGCAAACTCAACTAATTTTTATCCATGGTTCAAGGTAATGTGGAAAGAATAGTGGTTTTTGGCTTGATGTAGTAAGACGATTCTAGAAAGTTGATTATATATTTTTGACACATACTAGGATGCCGTGGGAGCGATGGATGGCACCCACATCTTAGCTTGTCCTCCGACAGGCGAGCAAATGGCATATACAAATCGGCACGGATTTCAATCACAGAATGTTCTGGTAGTTTGTGACCATGACATGCGCTTCATCTATGTGTATGCTGGATGGGAGGGAAGTGCACACGATGCGCGAGTGTTGGAGTCAGCATTAGTATATCCGTCCGATTTTTCACTGCCGCAACCTGATAAGTGATGGATCAAATATTTCGAGTCAAGTGTGTGCTATGCTTTATTACCACAACTCCTATTTTTTATCGCGTTTATTAATTGGAATAACTTTGTCAATTAGGTCAGTACTACTTAGTTGATGCGGCATACAGGAATGCTCCTAGTTTCATGCCCCCGTATAAGAACGTGGGGTCCGAATCTCCGGCAAAGACCTTGTTCAATACTCGACATTCACAACTTCGCAATGTCATTGAGCGTACATTCGGTGTGCTTAAGAAAAGATTCAATAGTTGAAGGGTCAGGTAGATAATTTCTACATGAGCACTCAAATAACTATAGTCATTGCTTGTTGTGCGTTGCACAACTTTTTAAGGATGCACCAACCAGAAGATGCCCATTTTCAACGGTTTGAATCAGAAGACGTGCACTTAAATGAAGAGCCAAAAATAGGCGGGCTAGTATATCAACCGTTTGCATTAAACATATCTCCTGCAGAGCTGGCGGAATGGAAAGCTAAACGAGGCTACATAGCGACTCAAATGTACGCAGCACGGGGGCGACGCCGCTGTTAGGTGTTCATCGCATTACAAAGGATTGTAATTGTCCCTAAAATTTATTTTTCCATGTGTAGAGTGTACTTAAAATGCCCTCGATTTCCAACTTCTAAATTAATCTGTACCATTTGTGTATTAAATATGCAATTGATTTAGCGTAAATGTAGTATAAAGTCAAAATTTTCGAAGTCAAAGTCAAAATTTTCAAAGTCAAAGTCACCTGCTTAAATTCAATAATGAGCACCTGCCCAAACTCTAATTTACACGATTTACTTACTATCCAAACGCCTATTTCATATTTACGCAATCTTAAAAAGTAACCTAAAAAAAATTCCAAATAATCTACTGTCCAAACAAACCCAATGATGAAAAGACATCAAGGATTAAACATAAGTGAGAATAACAAGTGGAGTTTAAACAAGATTGAGTGCTCAGATTTTAGTTCAATGGGGAATCTTAAGTCACCTTTCAAATCTGAAGTACAGAGAAATTCCATTAATAGAAGTCAGGGAAGCGACAAGTCCATACCTGCTCCAAGTTGGCCCAATGTTCATCATCAGCAGTGAAGCAGTAGCTGTCCTCACTCCACCCAACCCCGGTCTCTGTTTTTGATGAAATCCCACGCAGATTGCAGAACAGGTCCCATTTCTTCTTGATGTGATAGAATCTGGTCTGCAATTGCTGGCCAGTGACAGTCATTATGTGATTGCTCGCCAAATGGGCTGCCAACATGTCGTAGTTGGTCTCTAGCGACTTCTTGTTGTCCCAAACGTTATTTTCCCTAAAACTGACGTAGGCTGTGAGGAAAGTTTCGTCCATTGCATCGGTCTAGTGAATCCTAGAAGCCATTTGCTAAGTTTGATGGAAAAAAACAGTTAGCAGTGGACGGAGATAACAGAAATTGAATTAAAGTGGTTTGGAAACAGATCTGGACAATCAATAGTGAAAGCAAAAACAGGTGCAGAAGGAACTCAACGAAGGCACTTGCCTCAAAGTAGATGGAAAGGCAGTTGATGTAGTTGTTGGATGCAGTTGACGAACGGGTAGAGCAATCGGACGTACAGCTAACAGGTGAGGCTTGAAAATTCGAACAAAAAGTATTATTAACCAATTAATATGCTGCGAAAATTACTTTCTAAAACAGCATAGAAGGACATACAATCGCAAGAAGGCTTCTTCCTCTTCTCAGCGGTCATAACCGAAGAGAGAACAGCCTCAGAACAACCGGAATGGCAGCAGCTGGATAGTAAAATTATTAACTCATTGCAAAAAATATGCATCCAAACAGCAAATGGAAGTTTGCATCCAAACAAATTCCCAGCATGTTAGCTTTCAAATTCCAGTGTGAAACAAAAAATCCCATGCGTCTGTTAATTCTGAAAATTAGCAGCCCACAGTAATACATGTTTTTAACTCCTAACAATAAGATAATAATTGACCTAATTGACATGTATCTAACCTCATCAAATGAGACTTACAACAGAACCAAAAGTAATGAATTCAAGCATCTATAACTGTGCAGGCTGTGGTAAGCACCGTATAATCTGATACAATTTCTTTGTTGAAAAGGTGCAAATCATCTTCTTTTTTTCTTTTTTCTTTTGTTCTGGGTCACACTCAATGTAAAGATTCTTTTCTCTGGGCCACTCATGTAATCTTTTGTTGTCAAGTATATGTCCAATTTTAATTCTTCTTCAAAACCATTTTTTCTTTTCCTTCATATGGTGTCTGAGTTATGACTTATCAAGTAGCATCCCATTAAACAACTTATACTACGTTAAAGTATGAGTTTATTATTCAATAATAAACATGATCAATGCCAAGGACAAGTAACTTGCTGCCAACTTCAAAGTATTAATCCAGGGACTCGTTGGCTCATTATTAGTTATATTTTGCATATTACTGCCTTGGGCATCCAGACGCCAATGTTTTTAAACTCGGACCGGTCAGTGAACCGGAGAGGTGGTCGGTTCGCGGTTCGACCGGTTCAAAGGTTCACTGTTTTTTTTTTTTTTTTTTTTAAAATGTTAAGTACTAAGCAGGTTTCATTCTACACTTGAACTTTACCAACATAACTTAATTTAAGTTATGATAATAATAAATTTTCTAAAAGTTATACACAAAACATGGAATGATAAATATAATTAAAATATCATAATTCACCACAAGTTTTCATAAATTCATTATAAACATAAATAGATACAATCCAAATGTGCACCAATTATCACAAATAAAAACACAAAAAATAAATAAATTAAATATTGAAATTCTTTTACAACCCTTAAAAAAATCCATAAAAGAGTTCAAGTTAAGACAAACTATTTGAATAGCAAACTTTTATCAGTGGCATGATAAGCAACCACACCACCTTCACAATTTCATCAACTTAAGCTGAAAAAGTTAAAATTTTATTATAAAAATATAAATCTAATTGCTCAAACTAAAAAAAACTAAAAATTTTTGAAAAACAAATATACAGTTAAACACATAAAAATTTAATTGCTATTAAACATTACTAATTAACATGTTATATTAAATTCAATGATCCTATACCATTAATTATTTTAAATTCAATTATCAATAGTTTCGATTATGTGCCAACTACCATATTTTTGACCAACCCAATGTTATTATTTGTAATTCCTACCCAATTCCTACACGGATGTGCACTACTTTTGCAAAAATTTCATCCTTAATTAATCGAATAAAAATAAAACAAAAATGAGGGAAACATATGAAAATTGAGGGGAAAAAGAAGAAAATGCAAAAAATCAACTAAAGATAATAATATAGAAAAAAACTTTGAAAAGAAAAAAAATTAAACTTACTAAAATGTTGGAAAACAAGAAATTTTGAAATTTTCAACTTGTTTACAATCTGCTAAAGATAATAACCTGATAATAATGGTGAAGACTTGAGAAAATCTTGTTGTGGATATTTGGGTTAAAAATGGTTAAGAAGAAAAAATTGAAAAAAAAAATAAGAGAAGAACTTGATGTTTTAATATATTTTTTAGTCAAGTAGAATTCTCAACAAACTTAAGTACAGTCTAGCGGTAAGATTGTCATATTTAAACTTGGAGACTCAGGTTCGAATCTTAGCTACACCATTCTTGATATTTTGTTGAAGAATTTAAAAAACCGTCGGTTCACGGTTCTTAACGGTTCGCACGGTTCGTCCGGTTCGTCCGGGTTTCAACGGTTCTCCATGAACTTCCGGCTTTAACATTAGACCGGACCGGTGCCATGGCCGGTTCGCGGTCCAACCGGTCGAACCGGCCGGTCCGGTCCGGTTCTGAAAACATTGCCAGACGCTTAAACATTTAACTTTAAATACTTTATAAATTTTGCAGCAGACCAGTATATTTTGCTTTTATGTTTCCTATCACAGTTGTCCAATCCTTGTGCGTTATGAGGCAAACCTTTTTAATTGGAAAGAAAGCAAAAGAAACCATGGAAAAAAAGAAAACTGATTGCCAAAGGCCAATGCTACTAAGCAGTGAAAATCCCTTGTATTTTTTGGTAAAACTTTATTAAACAACTTCTATCCACCTTTAATTTACGTCATACAATATATTTTACTTCAATTATTTTTTTCAAGGGTGATGAATATATTTTTTTAAGGGTCATAGAATATATTTTACTTCTGTCCACCTTCAATTATTTTACTTCTCAAAGTGACATATTCCAAAGCAAAATTAACTTCTAACATCCTTATCCTCCTAATAAATTCAGGACAGATTTTATTTTCCCCATTAAATTTTTTGTTTCCATGATAAGAAAAAAGCCCAAAGACGATAAATCTCCCTGCTTGCAATTTATATCCAGTTAATCCAGTTTTAATGCTCATAACCTCCCAATTTGGAAGGCCAGAGCAGCTTTATTCCACCATCCATTCAGATTCGGGCTCAATTAATCCTAAGTAGATTTTAATCTAGCATAAACAAACTGTACTCTTCACACACACCCAACACAAAATCAGGTGTGGAAGGGAGATAATCAGCTGATGAAGCTGTGGACAACTAGAAAGAGAGATCAACGCAGGTTTATGGAATGTAAATTGCAGCTGATGGTAAATCATGGGAATTGTACCTGCCGTTGTAGATAGGGAGAAAGTGGAATGGCCTCGGAGCACCCAATTCCGCTTGGGTGTTGGAAGTCTCGACCGCAGCAGGGTGAAATGCGTCCCAGAGATTCAAAACGCAGTCAATCTGGTTGTTTGCCGGACATCTCTGCAGGCTGGATTAGATTGCAGCTGTCTTTCCCGTCTGTTGGTAGATGAAAATGGTGAAGAGAGGCCCGAACAAAGGAGCACGTGAAGCCTTTGTTCTGTGTTCAGGAGTAAATGGCTTTACTGTGGCTTTACTCCTCAACCAACGGTTACTTTATTGCAGGCCTTTGAAAAATTCAGTTGCCACGTGAGCGTTTTGAAGTGTTTGCATGACTTTAGTGCAAAAGGCTGCACCTAAGGAATCCAAGTCGGAACTCTGCACAGGAAATAACCCCACTTTTATTTTACACAGTACAAACGCTAATTTCTTAAAATTTCAAACAACCTACCAATTATGCTTTCCAACTATATTTTTTTATCATAACCCACCCCGCTTGTATCCGGTACCCCAAAAAAAGGGGACAGATATAGGGTACCCACCCCTACTTTCTGTGGTGGGGAAAACTGGGAATGCACCAAATTCTGATTCCATTCGAAGGGAGACTGCAATGGCCACGCTATGGTTGCTACCGGGATTCTTTAGCCTCTTCGTTTTGTCGTCCTCCGCTTGTCCTGATCATCAAAAGCAATCCCTTCTCCTGTTCAAATCAACCTTGCTTAACATCACTCACACCTATATTCCCCTACCGAATATAGATTGATATGATGCTACAGATTGATATGATGCTTATAGTCAGCTAAGCACAAGTCCATATGCAAGATACACTTTTCCTTCTTTGGTTATGTTACTTTTTACCTTTGGAAGTATTGTATATTAAAGAACTTACATATTAAGCGGGAAGGAGGGCTTAAATTAGAGACTTGGGCTCCTCTCCATCTCCCACAATTTATATCTGGTAGGATTAATTCAACTTAAAAAGATGATTAGCTGGTGGTCGTTCTCCTGCATGCTCAAGTCACGTGCACTGTGGATTGGAAGTTGCTTTTTTGGACAGAGTGGATCTTTCCGTTTTTTCTCCTCTTCTTTTTATTCTTCTTGTTGTGCTATATTATATTTGTTCTCGTGTTAGATTTCCCTTTTTCCCCCCTCTTCTTCCCTCCCCCCCCCCTCCATTTTACCCCAAACTCTGCTGCTATTTAATTGCTTGCCATGTTATTATTTTTGTATTATGTGCATTACTGTTATTATTAGTCTTATTTGTATTAGAATATATAGTTTTATGGTTTTGTTCTCTTTTTTTCCCCCAAATTCTCTTGCTATTAAATTGCTTGCCATATTATTATTAATTTATTATTGTGTTGCTATTATTATTATTAGTATTATTATTATTAGAATATTCAGTTGTACCATTATGTTGTTTTCTGCTTTTTCCTGAATAATAAGTTGCCAAAAAAATTGATCTTGATACATGGGCAATTATCATTAAACCCCAGAGAAAAATGGTTTCCCCATCCATGCATTGCACTAGATTGGTTTACTGGAACATCTCGGATAGAGGGGGAAAAGTCTCTTACCAATTCATATCCAGAACCACCAACATGAAAGCTAACATGGCCTTGGTTAACATCACCTGTTTTGAGAGAATCAGGTTCCACAGCTAAATTTAATCCACCATCCTCCGATTGATCTTTACTAAACCGCATGATATCAGAATAGACAGCATCAACTAAACCTGCATGTTCCCCTACCGAATTTGTACCTTTCATGTCATCGCGGCATTTTAAGATACTGAATCTGGTCATAATGGCCGCATCAACATCATCGATATTCCTATTTGAGCTCAAATCATCTTTGACTGCTTCATTTCAGGAACAACCTATATTCAAGTCAGCCTGCCCTTGATTAATATCATATTTTTTTTGAGAATTAGGTGCCACAGCTAGATTGAGTCTTCCATCCAGCAATTGGTCTTTAACAAATGGCATCTCATCCGAACAGAGATCATCAGCCATAACTGCATCTTCTCTTACCAAGTTCGGACTTTTTGAGTCATCACGGCATTTTAAGATATGGGGTCTGGTCATAACAGAGGCCTCAACGTCATTAGGATTACTGGTTGAGCTCAAACTCGAGCTGCAGATTGTAGTCTTTTGCAGCGAGCCATCAACCTTAGGTGGTGGCACATCAGATATTCTCAAGTCATGTGAACTAGAAGTTGACATATTCTCCGAAGCAGCTGCATTTTCTGTAAAATTTAAAGCACAGAAAATCAGGTAAGCAATCAATCATACATAGAGAATTGCAATAAGCAATCCCTACCTTTTTTCTGGTTGGATTTCAATTTCTCCATCTCAATCTTCATCCTATCAAAGCGAGCTCTGTAACTAATGGAACACAATTTAGCTTCAGCCTCAAGCCATGAGTTCTTAAAAAGATGACCTTGTGAATCCATTTCTTCCCCAGAATGAAAATTTTCCTCGAGGACCTTCTTTATTGCCTGAAATACAATAATCCGAACAAATTTATTGAGAATTCTATTTTGAAAAAATTCCAGAACAACTTGGCAGAGATACATAGATCATTCAAGTTAACCACATGCAAACACAAAACTGTTTCTTAGGAGGAACAGAGCTCTACCTGGACCATATTATCATCTTTCAATACTTCTAAACCATCTGTTACAGGAGAAAGGGGCTGAAGCTTCTCATTTTTTTCCTGGGTAACATTGTGATTCCCCATCTCATCATGGGTATTTTGAAAATCAAGATGGCAATGAGAATTTGTACCCACTTCATTTTGAAACTGATGTCTGCCTGCAGCATTGCTCTGTAAAAGATACCATTTGGTTTTACACATAATCAGATGCTGCTTATATACCCAAAAGATTATCTTTATCTCGCGTATTATGTCTTTATGTTTACAAGCGGTAAACAAAAAAATCTCTGCCACAAAGAAAAAATGCTTAATGGACAAACACATGGAAACAAAATATTCAAAATATGTTGTGAATTGAGTTTGGCCTCCACAAATTCCTGGGATAAAGGATGATGCAATTGTTATAAGCAGATATAACTGCAACTCCAAATTATCACCCAATTATTTTTTTTCTCTTCTGCAGCCTCAGATGTACCAAATTCGCATTATTGACACAATGAAAGAACAGAATTCAAACTATATAAGCTGCAGATTAACAATGCTGACGAACCTCTAACTGGGCATGAATAACCAGAATAATTTCCTCTACTGCTATAACAATCTCAAGGTTACTTATACAGAAGTCATATGCACCATGATAATTAAACTTAAAACTTCGAACAACTCACAGCAGACACTTCTTTTAATAAACATAATGCAAATCTAGGTTTTCGACATGATCCAATATTCAAACATACCACATGAGGATCAAGCGAGTTTTGAATTTTATGACAAGTAACTTGCTGCCGAAATATTCGCTCTTGTGGTTGAATGAAATACTCCTTTTTCCTTGAAGCAAGCACATCCAGATTGCTCATTACAAGCTTAACGGCCTCTAAGTCTTCATCTTTTAGTGCAGATGAATCAGTTATACAGTTGAAGACAAGCAACTCCGAAAGGTTTTGCAATGCTTTAACTAATAATTGAACATCTATTTTGGAAGCTGATTTACGTCCATACTGTGTTGCTTGCTCAGCAGCACATTCTTCAGAGGAAGGAGAACAAAGAACATTTTCAGCTGCACGAACAGCAACAGAACCCTCTGCAGTGACACTGGTGTTCAACAGAGAGTCCATAACTGAAGAGTGAAAATTCAGAACTGAAGGGGTAAAATCTTCGACTCCAAGTTGTTTGATGCCTGAAGATTTCAAATCAGAATCATTCTTTGAGTGTGCCTGCAGGTTGCAATCTTCTCTAGGCTTATTGTAAGCCTCACAAGGTTGAACTCCTTCACTTGGGCCTTTAAATCTGGCTTTTACAGCATCAATTGACTTCACTTGTCTGGCAGTGCAATCAGCTTCTGAAATATGTGAGATGCCTCTCCCTGCACTGCTACAGTCGTGCACTTTGTCTTCCCCTGCTTTTTCGGATGAGCACCTTTTAGAATCATTTGGCAGAGAAAACCACCCATCAACTTGAAGATCCAACTGACAATATCTGTCCACTTTGTTTTCAAATGGATGTGTTTTTTCGGTTTCCACATCCAATGGAGAGAAGTGAGAAGCTGGGGTTCCTTTCCGGCAGGGAGAATTCACAGCAAAATTATGATGATCTACAGAATCTGGAACATTGTCAGAAGACTTGATAGCTTGAAAGCAGTCTCCTGACAGTGAAGAATCATCTAAGCCATTAATACTTGGGACTTGTGATCCAGATTTTGATTTTGAAATACTATTTACGCCATCCCAAATCTGGAGATTGCATGATAGTTCCTCCGTCACAGCAGATGGTACAAAAAATAGCTGGCCATTACCTTCTTTCTGATGCTTGAGCTGACTTGAGATTAAGGAACCTTCTTCAACTTCATGATCAAACAAAATCTGATGTTCTTTTCCTTTAGCAGGACAACTGCTACCCAGTCCTCCTTTCAGATGAATGGCTGCAGGATTACCAGTATCAACAGTTTCGCCTAAAGAACCATTACCAGTATCAACAGTTTTGCCTGAAGAACCATTACCAGTATCAACAGTTTTGCCTGCTTTTTGGGTTACTGGTGGTCTAATCACCAAAGCAGGAGATTTTGTTACAGATAAAGAACCATTAACGCTAGAATCACGTGCCAGGATGCATTTCTCATAGGCATTCTGGGAATTCTGGAAGTTAGTAAAATTCTTAGACAACTGCAAAGATGAACATGGAGAGTCAGATGCTGAAATTTGAAAAATGGAACTTGAAATTTTTGACCTTGAGTAATCAAAAGGAGGGGAGAGAATTTTTTGAGCCAGAAGCGATATATTATCCACAGGTTCCATCCTTATCAGACCATTCGCGTATTCTCTTCCATTAGCATTAGAAAATTGCCCAAAAGGAATGCTAGAATCCTTTTCAAGTATGTCCCCATATTCAACAATATGACAACCTGCAAGTTCACAGGTAGACTTATAAAATAGAAATTCCAAGTTGAGCACACAATCCAAATTATAATTTTTTTTCTGAAACGATATTAGTAATATATTGATCATCAACTAAACTTTACACTTGGAGCAAAGGCCCCTCTTTCTAAACAAAAGTGCTCAATAGCACAGAGGATTGATCCATTCCTCATCATGTATGATGCCTAAGGCATACTCCCCAACTGTAGTACTAACATGATTATCATTTTTAGATATAACACCAAAAGAGCACATTTGAAACAACACTTTCAAGCTAAGAATATCCTCAACTAGAGTATGCAGCTTGATATTTGATGCACTACCCGCACTGATTTGCTGATGTAGGTGTTTGTTGCAGCTCTGGATGTTGACTTTTCTCCAGCCTTTGACAACTAATTTACTCATAGCTATCTTAATAGCCTCGGCCTCGTCCAATTGTGGACATTTGTAGCTTCTTTCATGTATAGCCCAAGCTGCAACAATAACATTTCCTTCAGTCATAGCAGTCACACCTATGCCAACCTTTTTACTGTTCAGTTTGCTTAGTGCAACAATCTTAACTTGGATCACCTCTGCATTCTCTGCTTCTATCCTTTGCATTTGGTAAGCAGCTGTTTCTGCTGTGCTCACTTGCTCCTGCTGTTTGTAGGCTTTGCTGAACTCCATCCATTCCTCTTGAGCTTTCTGTATAGTTGTCATTGCATGCCTTTGTTTGTTGTTGAATTCCCACTCATTTCTGCTTTTCTATACTTGCCACAAGATGTTAACTGTTAGAGCAAGGTGGTCTTCACCATCCTGCCTAGATTTGGCTCCTGTAATTTCAGTCCACCAGGCCTTAAAACAGCCTTGTTTGTCCTTAGCACCCCCCCATTGTGTTGGTGCTATATGCCAAACCTGGTTAGCCTGTCTGCAGTTCAGCAGCACATGTTCCACCGTCTCTACCCCTTCACCACATGCTTTACAGATGGGATCTCCTTTCTTAGACCTACTAAAGATTACTTCCTTGACTGGGAGAGCATTATTGATGCATTTCCACATGAAGGTTTTCAGTTTCTGTTTGATGTTTAGTTTCCATAGGCAGGACCACATCTGTTTTGCTGCATTGTGTGTACTAGGACCAGCACCCATATAGCCAAGCCTTTCTTGTGTTTCCTTCTCTTTCATAAGTACCTTGTAACCTGTGCTCACTGTGTACTACCCCGTAGGAGAGTGCATCCAGAAATTACGGTCCTCCTTTCCTACTAAGCTGATAGGAATACTTAGGATTCTTTCAGCATCCTCACTATTAAAAGTTCTGAACACTTCCACTCTATTCCACCTCTTCTGATTGATTAAGTCTTGAACTTTCTGCACTTTGCATTCTGGAGGTTTGGGTGTTGAGGGCCTTCCTTCTTTGTTCCCAACTATCCACTTATCCTCCTAGACATCTGTACTACAACCATTTCCAACTTTCCTCCAGGTGCCATCCTCAACCAACTGTTTAGCTCCCATTAGGCTCTGCCAGATCCATGAAGCATTCTGTGGGCACTTGCAATTGAAGATGGATCTTGTAGGGTAGTATTTCGCTTTCAGAACCTTGGAGATAAGCAAGTTTGGATTTACAAGTAATCTCCAAATCTGCTTACCAAGCAAGGCTCTGTTAAAATTGACCAGGTCTTTGAACCCAAGTCCTCCCTGGTTCTTGGTTTGGGACATTCTCTTCCAGGAGCAAAGATGCATCTTATCCTTTCCATTAGTGTCTCCCCACCAGTAGCTTGCCATTAGTGCACTGATCTCTTTGCACAGTTTCAGAGGTAGTTTAAAGCATGACATATCATAAGTTGGCACTGCTAGAGTCACTGCTTTTAACAAGATCTCCTTCCCTGCTTGACTTAGCAATTTCTGTTTCCAGCTTCCAAAATTCTTTTGAATGTTGTCTCTGATGAATCCAAAGATTTGGTCCTTTGTCCTCGTTATCACCATAGGTAGCCCCAGGTACTTGCCTTGGTTGACCATATGGATATTCCCCAGTTTGCAGCATACTTCTAGCTTTTTACCATGATCCATATTTTTGCTGAAGAAAATATAGGACTTCTCCAGATTGATTAACTGTCCAGAGCTCTTTTCATATGTCACCAGGATCCTCTTCAGCTCCTCAGCTTGGTTGGTGTCTGCTTTACAGAAAATTAATAAGTCATATACAAAAAATAAATGAGTTAGTCTAGGTCCATTTCTGCTGATTTTGAGTCCAGAAATCTTCTTTTCCTCTTCAACTCTTTTCAGCAGATTTGAAAAGCCTTTTGAGCACAGTAGGAAGAGATAGGGTGAGAGGGGGTCACCCTGTCTGATTCCTCTTTCTGGTACAATGTATTCCTTAACCTCACCATTAATATTGAAAGAATAAGAGACTGTTTCAACACATTTCATAATCCAGTTAATCCACCTGCTACAGAAACCCATTTTTTGCATCATGGCCCTCAAAAAATGCCATTCCACTTTATCGTAAGCTTTAGACATATCTAGCTTAACAGCCATGTACCCCTCTTTCCCTTGCCTTTTATTTTTCAGGAAATGTATGTATTCATGAGCTAAGATAACATTGTCTAGGATCTGTCTACCAGGAATGAAAGCAGATTGGGTTTTACTAATACAGATATTTAACACAGCTTTAAGCCTATTAGCCAGAATTTTAGATATCACTTTATAAAGCACATTACACAAGCTAATAGGCCTATAATGCTTCAGATTGACAGGATCTTTAATTTTAGGAATGAGGGAGATCAAGGTGTGATTCAGGGCTCTTGGCATGGAATTGGAATGAAAAAAGCTCTGGATAGCCTGGACTATCTCATGTTTAATAATAAACCAGAATTTCTGGAAAAAAATGGGGGTCATACCATCCATCCCAGGAGCTTTATCAGGAGACATAGAGAGAATTGTTGTTCTGATTTCTTCTTCATCAACACCTCTAGCCAGTTGATCATTCATGCTAGCCGTAATGGTGGATGGAATACCTCTAAGGATCTCCTCTGAGCTGCCATTCCAACTACTAGTAAAGAGCTGCCTGTAGTAATCTGCCACTTCTTTCCCTAACTCGTGCTTATTCTCAGTCCAAGATCCATATTCCTTTTGCAGATTCAACATTCTGTTTCTCCTCCTCCTTCCCTTGACTTGAGCATGAAAGAACTTAGTATTCTTATCCCCCTCTTTTATCCAGTTTAGTCGAGCTTTTTGGTGCCAATACAGTTCCTCCTCCTTGTAGGCCTCCTTCAACTGCTTTTTTAGAATCACTGTCTCTTTTCTGGTGCCAGAATGAGTGCTAGACTGAAGCTTCTCCAACTGACTTTTGATCTGAAGGATCTTCTTTTTAGCATTGCAGTTGGAGTTATTCTTCCATTTTAATATCTCAACTCTACAGTTTCTGATTTTGCATTTGACCCTAAACATTCTGGACCCCTCATAATCTTTTTCCCATGCTTTTCTAATCACATCCTGGATCCCTTCTCTCTTTAGCCATCTTTTGTCAAAGTAAAACCTTTTTTTCCTCTTCCTAGTATCCGGATTAGTATCTATCATTAACATGCTGTGGTTAGAAGCAAATGTGTCAACATGTTTGCACTTGGCTTTATCAAAAACAAGTGACCAGTTTATGCTACACAGGCCCCTGTCGAGTCTTTCTCTGACTTCCCCTACATCCTCCCAATTGTTACTCCATGTCCAGGGGTTCCCCTCAAAACCAATGTCAATCAATTGGTAATCATTTATAAAGTTGTTAAAATCTGTAAAACTCTTCTCTTCTCTCCATCTGCCTCCCCACTTCTCCTCATTTGATAGAATGTCATTAAAGTCCCTAGCTATTATCCATTTTTCTCCCCATAGCTTTTTCCTTGCTTCCACAACCTTCCACTGACTCTTCCTGATTAGATTGTCACAGCTTGCGTATATACCAATGAACCACCATGTTGTCTTTGCCTCCCTGTCTTCCACATGAGCTTCTATAGTAAAGGCCGTTTTGATTATCTCTTTAATATTTACTTCATCTTTCCACATCAGAGACATGCCCCCAGATCTATTCATAGATTCCACCACACAACTACTCTCGAAATTCAACTTCTCTCTCACTCGGTCCATATATCTACTCCTATTTTTAGTTTCGCTCAAAAACAGCATACTTGGGGAGAAGAGGTTGGAAACCTCCCTCAGATGGGGAATTGTCAAGGTGCTCCCAACACCTTGGCAATTCCACACCAGAACCTTCATTGAGGTTTGGGGGCCCAGAGTAGGCTGGTCCCCTCCCCCTTTTGAACCTGAACATTATAGCAACCCTCAGGACACCCTTTGTTTCTTTTACCCCCTATCTCTCTGCCATCTGCCTCTTCCATTTCCTCATCACATAATTGAAACTTCCTTTTACCTTGTACTCCTGAGTCTTTGGAATTGATGCAAATTTCCTTTAGGGGTGTTCTCTTAGTAGGAGATCTAAGCTGCTTCTTTAATCTCCTATTCTGTCTTGTAACAGCTACCTTTTTTTTGTCCTCGACCATTAAGTCCATTAGAGTAACCTCACCTAACATGTTCTCAGTTATGTCTCCTTCCTCTTGGTTCGCTGTTACTTTAGCCAATTCCTGTTCACTAATCTGTACATCTGTCTGGCTTGCTTCTTGGGAGGATTCCTCCATTTCCAAACTGGTGCGGGCCTTTTCCCTGGCAGAAAGCACCCTCGCAGCCCTTTCCTCTGCCTTCTCAGACTCTATGTTCAACTTGTCAAGAGATGCTACAATGGTGGCTTCCTTACTCTGTCTACCAGCCATAGCTTTCGAGGCTGATTTTGGATTGTTATTCGTAACACTTTCCCCTTTATCTTTTCTGAGATCCTGATTCTGTAACTCCACTGCATTGCTTAATGCACCCCCTCGATTTATATATGGTACACTGTTACCCTGACCAGGGTCCAGCTGTTTATGTTTTACCACTTCCACCCAATTCCCATTATGTAACCTCCAATGATGCTTATCACTGGGTGTTCTCCTGACCAGAGGTTCTTTTTGAGGTGAGTTTCTTCCATTACCATTGCCAGCTCTCATCCACGTACCATATTGGTTTTCTAAGTGCCCTCTATCTACAAGGACCAGTCTCTTGCAGTTTCTCTCACTGTGCCCTACAATTCCACAATTGTAGCAGAAGTCTGGGCACCTCTCGTACTTGAAGCTCACCCATTTTGTAGACCCTTCCACCTTCACTATTGATCCCCTTAGCAAGGGTTGGGATATATCAGCTACCACCAATAGCTTAATATGCCTTCCTTCTTTGCTACCCGTCTGAGGGATGATTACCTCCTTCACACCATTGAACACTACTCCAATTTTTCTCCCTACCTCCTTGGACATCCAATGTACTGGAAGATTCCAAACTTGAACCCATAGGGGGGCCTCATTAAAAGCACTTTCATCCTCTTCAATACCTTCAAACCACCTGTTCAAGACTAGAATCTGACTATCCATAATCCATGGCCCCCCCTCAATGATCCTTTCCCTTTCCTGCTCCCCCCAAATGAAGAACTGAAAGAAATTGGGGCCTAGTTCAACAACTTTGAGGTCTTTTGGATAGCTCCAAGCTGATGTAACAAAGCTCTTCACACCAGTGTAGTTGACTATTTTTTCTCCTTTAAATTTCCCCAGCAAGCTCAACTGACATTCTTTTACCCCTAAGTTAATTTCAGTTCTGTCCAAATCAGCCAAACTTCCCTAAAATTTCGGCTAAGTCCTCTGCCATGACTTCACCCAGAGATCCTTAGGTATTCCACCAACCAAAATCTGACTGTCACAAAGTCTCTGGCTGGAGCTGTAAACGACAGCAGAAAAACAAGACTACCAGAGCCTAACAGTGAAATGAAACAAAGGAAAAGAAAAGGCCGAATGTTTAATGCACATGAAAATTTAAAAAGCAAGGTAAGACAGATCCATCCTGTTAGAGCCAATAAAACTAAAGCTTACACCACTCATCAGAAGCTACATGCACATCTGGACCCCTCTTGCGGTCTTTATCTTCTTTTGAGCCAGCTGCAACACTGGGGACCCAGAAGTATCCTCAATGTCGTAGTATTGAGTTCTTGCCTACGCCTTTTGGCTGCGTATTACTCCGGAATATGAGGTTGGTTTAGATTAGTGCTTTGTTTCGGACATTGAAGGTTCGAATTTTGAAGTTTTGGGAATTGAAGTTTGAAAGTTTGAAAATGTTATCACTTTTAGACGCTCCCACCAAAAGGGAGGGCAGCTCTCAATGAAGAGAGAGAAAGGCTCTCAATGAAGAGAGAGTGGTTAATCCTAGTTATTGACTTGTACCCCAAATTATAATGGATTGTCACATAATATTTGTCATATATTGAGCACACAATCCAAATTATAGCTCTGAAGCAAATATCTAACTACTAATTACTTAAAGTCATGAACTTAGATTTTATTGTCATCCTTTAGAAATGCCATTTTAAAACATAACAAACTTTAGTGAACATGTTTTGGCTTAGTCCAGAGTAGCAATATTGACAATACCTAGCAAATAACTGGCTTGCAAAACTAAGGGCCATTATATGTGTTGAAAAATTATAAAATTTTGTGAAAACATTTTGAATACAAAACCAAAAATTAATAGTCAAAAATTCAATTTTAAGACTATAAACAATCTAGCTTGAGTATGAAATCACGTTTCATGTCATACAGCACCACAGATTCATTCTTCAAGAAAACCAGCAAGAACATGTAAGACACATCTTTGATCCATTGGAATATTGCAATTTCCGTTCAATAATATTAGCTAACAAATTTCAAATCTGCTAAAGCTAATATCATTTAGTAAACCAAAATGAAACTCCAGAAACGAGATTCGCATATAATGAACCAAAAAGGAAACACTATCATTAAGGACAGATAGATTGGCTAACAAATAATAATGGAATGCAAAGGATTGGCTAATATGCTGAGAGAAACATGATTATGCATCACTTTCAGAGCAGTAAAGACATGAATTAACAGAAAAAAGAATGAGGTGGTAGTAGTAGGAGAAGCACCAGTGAAGCATGCTGCGGAAGGAGCAGGTAAAATTCTATTAAATTCTTGGCAGTTTGCTATATGCTATAAATTACTGTACATTCAAATCTCAAAAATCAAAGATCCAGCAAAAGTATTTTCTCTAACGGTGCCGTTAACGCAAGCCAAAGTTATTTCTACCTTTTGCTTTTCCAACCGGCCACCGATAGTCATGCAGTAATTTGAAGCTAGAATTTCATTGACAGATGGAGAGATAAAAAACAATAAGATGAGTTGGACACAGGAAGAAATCATTAGCAGAGAATAAAAGGCACAGTTTATTGGACAAAGTACACCCAAATACTATCATATTGAGCATTGATATCTCAGACAGGAGAGGTACCTTGATTCATATGGTTGCCATAAGCATGTGAGTCACCAGCATTGTTATATCCAAGGAGAAACCCATATCAAGTTCTGCTCGTTTACCCCGCTTTGCATCAATTAATCCACTCCAGCCACTTTAGCCACAGTTTTTTTTTGGTTTATTTATGCATACTTTGTTGTTTTGTTGTGTAGAACAGGCACAATATCAATGTTGTAGCAATGAACATCAGTTTTCACTAATTTGATGCTTATGCTAGGGGCTAGAGTTGGATCACTTGTATTGGATGAAAAGCTAGACTTGACAAGATAGATTTTGTACTAAACCTACCCCCCAAAAAAAAAAAAAAAAAAATTCGTTACTGTGAATAACAGATAAGGAGTTTATGTAGAAATTTGTGAAGCCTCAAATTAATTTATTGCTATATGAAGTTTCTTATAAGATACTATTATCCTATGCTACAACGAGCAAAGATTTTGGATATTATCTTCAGTCAACAGCTTGCTTAGAGGTATTCTTATTAAGTGTTGTATTGATGCAAAAATAACTTTTTTCTTTCTTCTACCTTCAACTTTTTTTTATTAGGAATTTCCTATACAATGAAAGGATAAATCAAATTTAAAAGAAGATAAGAGCTTATACTTTCTAGTGCATATAGAACTATCAAATCCAACTTTTGGAATTGCCAATCATATGCACTTGTGCTTTTTTTTTTTTTTTTAAATCCATTGCTCAAATTAAATACTAGAAATTTGCCAAACCTGGAACAATTGAACCAATCATTTGGCAAGCCCTTTTAAGATCCCTCAAAACACATTTTCCACTAGGTTATAGGGCAGAATGAGTCTCAGTCTTTGTGGCCTAGTAGTAATATATCTTACTAGAATTGGAATAATCAAACTATTTTCTTATATGTATCTTACATATCACAATCTCCTCATTGCAGATTACTTTTGGGGATTGTGATTCCAATCTCTTCCATTTCTTTTCTCCAATCAAACTAATTTATATCGGGTTGATTCTGGAAGTTTGCAATTCTTCATTATCAACTTGACTGGCATGACTTTGCCTTATGGTAGCCATGCCAATCCCATGAATTGGTTAAAAGAAACCAATCTTAGAATTTTTCGTTTCTACATGTTGAGGTTCCCAGAGTTAAAGATCTAGTATTTTAGTCTCATAAATTGTACATTGAGTGCAAATTTATATTAGTGTTTCCTCTACTCAAAATAAATAAAAAAAAATCAGTGTTTCTTCCATCATTCGTGAATTAGTGAAAATTTTACTAAATTGCAACCTATTAATGTGAATTCAACAATAGTGGGTTAGTTATAATCTTATATAGTCCTCTGTCTCCAAAGTTATCTTCTTTTCCTTCTTCGTTCTCAATAACTTTTTGTCTCTAACTTCCCTCGCTTCGCAAACAGAACATCTTCCTCCTCGGTTGGTTTTCCTCCCCCTCCCTGTGGCTTATATATAAATATATATATATATTTATATATATATAATGTTTGCAATAAAATCTTTTTTAAAGTCTTCTAGTGTGAGTTTTCTCCTCTCCTAGAATTGCTGATAGGAGTTTTCTTCTTTTCTAACAATTTCTAGTAGCAGTTTTATGTAGTTTTCCAATTTCTTTTACTAGATCTTTTTTTTTTCAAATTTAGTTGTTAGATTTGAGATTCGTTAAATCTATTCGATAGATCTTATAATATTTGGACTTGAAATAATTAATCAGTAGATCTGACAATCGAAATTATGTATAGTTGTTCTTAGGGCTATAATTTTTTATCTTATTTATTGGAATATTTTTGAAACTTTACATTATAATTTTATCAATTATTCAGATGCATTGTTTCTATTTTTTAGATCTTTAGTTTCTA